ACACACACCAGGCAGAGGCACACACACACACACCAGGCAGAGGCACATACACACACACACATACACACACACACCAGGCAGAGGCAAGGCTGAGGCACTATCCTAGTGTCGTGCACACTAGGACACAGGAGGAGGGATGGGAGACGGAGACAGACAGGCTGGGAGAACAGAGGCCCCTGCAAAGACAATGGGCTGAGGAAAGGGCTAGAAGTCAGGCAGAAGCCTGGGCAGTCGCTGTCAGGGCAGGAGACGGGGACAGTGGGAGGGGAAGGAGGCAGAAGCACAGAGAAGATTCTCCCTTCAGAGACTATCTCCTATAGGAACTACACTTTCAAGCAGCTCAGGGTTCTGGCACCATAAAGTCCAAGGAATAAAATGTATGCTCATTGGTCATGGTACCTCGTGCTGGTACCATGATTTTTCTAATATGCCTTTCTCACCTGCTCTGGAGTCTTAAACAGCAGGAGGTCTTGGGATAGGGACTGAGAGGCCACAGAGCCTCCTTGGTATGAGGCTATCCTAGTTTCAAATATTCTTTCCTGTGGCCCCATAAGCCAACTGATGTCAAAATCATCAACACTTCAGTGACTTCGAGATGACAGCTTCGCCTGTTAACAGTTGACAGCTTTCCTGCTATACCCTGCAACTCTAAATTACCAGGACACTAGCCAGAGTACAAACCCTAACACACGGCCTTCATCCTAATCTGCCATGAGCAGAGTAGCCTTAGAAAGTCCCTTGGCCCTTTCTCACCTTGAAAAAGGTAACTTCCTGCTCTGAGGAAAGTAGGGACAAGTGCTAAGCCCTGCTCTCCATGCCTAGAGGTCAGCACCTGCCTTTTGGGGTGCCTCAGGTGCCCTCTTTCCCTTCTGCCCACACAGATGGCCTCACTCTGCTCCCCAAGTCTACGGAAGCACCTCCAGAAGCAGGGCCAGGGGAGATAACATTCTAGAACCAGGCTCAGAAGTGAGTGAGACAAGGAGGAAGGATAAATGGAGGTGCCTGCCAGGAGTCCAGGCAGCATTAACAGAGGTATGATGTACAGAGAAACGGGGGATGAGGAAGCTGATGCTTCATCTGATCCTCCATTGCAGCCAGATCTGTTCAGATGTGCTCAGGGGATGCAGGGGGCAGCAAAGAGTTGGAGACTGTGATGGAATTACCGAAGGACCTCGTGCTAGAACACTGTTCTTGGCATCATGCCTCCATTGCTCTTCTGCAGAACCATCTACACTCTGTGCCCTATAGCAAAGGTGGTACCCACAGGGTACCACAGAGGGTGATTCCCAGCTGAACCTGAGCCAGAGGCAATCTCCAGACAGGAGAGACAGACTGGGCAGCCCTAAGAGGAACATGGAGGGGCTCTCATGGGTGGCAAAGGAAAGCTGGTCCACCAGCTAGGGAGGCTGGGAGAGCACGGACATCCTGTCACAGAATGTCTCACAGCCTTGTGTCCCAGTTTGGCACCTCAGGGTCAACAGGGTCAAGGACAGCCACAGCACTCTGTCTAGGTTTGGAAGGTGGGGAGCTCTGATAGTAAGAGGAGATGAACCAGTCCTAACTGGTACTTGGGTCTCTAACACTGCCTCCAAAACTTCTTCTCTGAGTACTACAAAAAATTCTAGCATCCACCAACAAAGGACTCTATCTTGAGGAAAAGATTTTGGTTTGGGGTTAGGGTAGGGGCCAGTGACTTGGTAAGAGGACAGGGAACCATGCCTGGAGAGAACTGGGAGCCCTGACTGTGTCCTCAAGCTGTACCCTGCTCGCCTGGCCCCAGGTAGTGTAAGGAAAGGCAGCTGGCAGCTGGCTCACAGCTACTCACGGTCTCAGGGGCCCCGCTCCACGGCCTCTGGCTCTGTTTGATAGAGGAGCAGGGTTATGGAGGGCATCATCCCAGCTAGGGCCAGGACAGATTGTGTAGTGGTGTGAAGGGCAAGGGGGAGGGGGATGGCAGGGCGTCTGTGTGCAGAAGAATGGGGTGCCAAGGAGTCTGGTCTAGGAGACCACTAGGCATGGGGGTAGAGTAGGTCAGGAGGGATGTGTCCTAGGAAGGGGCAGAGCATGTTTGGACATAGCTCAGGACTGCCACCATGAAACAGACACATTCTTGTGAGGGTGTGATAAACCACAGGCAAGGGAAAACATGGGAGCATGTGTATGACGTCCCGGCAATCATATTCACTGTAAGGCCTCATGTGGCTTTGGGTGGCTACTCAGGGTCACAGCAGGAGGATATACAGTTATCATCAGCCATTGTGTTGCCAAGACCCTCAGACGGGGACCTCGTGCCTGCAGACCCAGGGCAATGTTTGTGTATGAGTGTCTGAGCACATATGGGATACAAATGTCCATCAGAGAGCTTACCCGGACCTCCTTGTAGAGCCGTAGGCAGCTGCTGTTGAGAATGAAGTAGCGATCGTGGAAGCCACCCGAAGGCAGCCCCAGACCCAGGAGGCTGCGGTCTTCACGGAACTTCATCATACCATGCTTGGTGTCACCCACACGGCTGGCTAGGGGAGGACTAGAGTAGGCAAGGGCTACACCGCACCACCTACCGACTCCAGTGCCCCACCTCATATCCCAGCCTCCACATGGAAGCACCCTAGTTTGCTCCATCTGACCTGTTCTGTCCTGGTGCCACCAGGTCTCACCCTGCTTCTAGATGGAGGTACCCATCCACCCCACATCCCCTGCAGACACCACTTACCCAAGTACAACAGCATAGCCTCCATAGACTGGTACTTCTTCACCACCAGATGGCTGTCTATGCCCAGCCCGTGCACAATGGGCAGCACCTTCTCTGCAAAGTGCAGCGGGCGCTCTGTGGGAAGGCCACACCACTGTCACTGGGTCCATGCCGCTTAGTACCACCAAGGGCAAGCGAATGGATAGACGTCACCTGTACACCTCAGCATCCACTAGCATCATGACACACCACCATCACGATCACCCTTCCTATAAGCTAGCTTCGGACATGTCACACCTACTTACAGCCAAAACCAAGTCTGTATTGTCACCTATGTGTCCTCCAACAAGCACTGCCTCTGCTCAGATCAGAAATACTCCAGCTCCTTCCACCCTCGTGGGTCAAATCTGGTATGTCCCTCTGTACTTGTCTGGCACAGTCTGGCCTCTAGCATGTACTTGAACTTCCAGCCAAGCTCTCCCAATCTCGTAACAAATAGCATCTTCTCAAAGCCCCGTTACCAGCCATCCCATGGCCCTGCAGACCCACCAGGCCCTGGGTGGCTGACTCCACCTCCAATCCCACGCTGGGTTTCCTTGTGTCTTGGAAGGCCTAGCCTGTTGCTGGAGCTGGTCTTGTTTCTGGGAGCATTTGTCCAGTCTTTACCAAGTAGCCCTTACTCTTCCTCACAGTAGGCTAAGGCACTCCAAAGCCATCAGTCCTGTCATAGTATAGGGCACATGGACCGTGCCACCAGAGGAACTAGCGCGGACTGGGTGAGGCTGACCCATGTCCAAACCCTGGAAATCTTAAAATCTGATATTAGAATCTCATCCTGAGACCGGCTAACTCCTTCCCTGTTTTTGTGCCTGCCTCAGAGCATGTAACCAAGCAACCCCTAATCAGGTGGTCACAGGCAGTCAGCCAGTCACGTAGCAGCACCTGGACCACCTCTCCATGCTAATGAGGCATCTTAGTACCTTAGCTTTTTTTTCTCACCCTGGATATTCTCACCTCCAAAACTATATAACCCTTGGTTCACATCAAATAAAGTTCAAATGCACCCCCCCAAAAGAAATACGAACAAGCTAAGATCATCTTAGAGACTTGCTTCATTAAAGATCGTTGGAGAAGGCCTTAACACTAAAATCTTTGAAGAAGCTCCCAGTCTCACTATCTCCCAACCAGGCCAAAATCCTGCTCATCTCAGACTCTGAGTCTGACACCCTGAAGGGAAGAGGCAGAACCCAGGACCACATCATAGGCTCTGCCGACAGCCTGTGTTAGCAGTTAGCTAACACCAAGGGAGTTGTCTATTTCCTAGAGTGATCATGGTATTAACATCTCTGTCCCTTACTAGACTAACCACTGCCGGGGGCCTCAGCCTAGCAACTGCCACTCAACAAAAACAGGTGACGCTTGCATCAGCAACACCCCCACCTCTCATCTCAACATCGCTCACTTCACCATAAAAGGCTCCAATTGGCCACTCACCACCACAGTCAGGCTCCCCCATCACAGCCACCTGCTCGTATGGTCACCATCCACCACCCTCTTCACCCCAATAGTATCACCCTACAATCCTGTCATTGAATTCAGCATTGCCCCTTCTGCAAGCAACACCATTCTGTCATCTGGGAAACCATCATCATGGCTGGCACCATCACCTAGACCTGCTAGCTGCCAGTCACCAACAGCATAGAGACCACAATTTTCATCAGTGTGCCAGCAAAAAGTGTCACCTAGAACCTCTGGCTCCCAAACTGCAGGGAGGAGAAATGAAGGTTGGGCTAAAGGCAGTCCACAGCCACTCACCTGCCTCTTCCTTCTCGTTGACCTCAAAGCAAGTCCAGTAGTCCTTTTCCCTGATGCTTACATTGCGGCGGTCGAGGATCTCCAGAGTAAGCTCCTCTGCTGTCATGGATGCTGGGATCTGCACAGACCCAGAAGATCAGCCAGTCCCAAATGGACCAACAGCTTCTGTTTGGCCACAATCTCCTGTAATTTGGTCCCCAAACCCATTCCTCATCGGATCCTCTGAGCCCCGAGATACAAAGAGTGGTGTCTTTAGGGATCCTCATACATCTCTAACTGACTAGCTATGCCTGCCCTGGCACAGCCTGGCTCAACAGCCCCCACCTTAACATGCTGTTCGGTCTCCACCTTCTTCTCCTCCAGGTACACGGTACAGATGAAGTCGCCAGCATGCTGCAGGAGAGACAGGGCTCAGCTAGAGGTCTGGCGGAGGTGGAGCTGGCAACCAGCCCAAGCCTTCCCAAACCCTGGCCTGCACCTGAGTCCCACTGGCAGTGCCAGCCACTCGCATCTTCACGATGGCTGTGACTTCCTCTCTCTGCTTCCTCAGCTCCTCCTCGTCCACCTGGGGAGAGTCGGATGTCACTGCCATCTGAGACGCTTAGCCTTGCCCACCCCTCCCTTCGCCCCCAATCCCAGCTGGGACGCACACTGAATACCACCACATAGTGGTTGATGAGGTCTTCCACAACCTTGCCGGCCTTGTAGTCCTGCCCATCCGTCTGGAAGAGCGTAGGCCCGAACACAATAGCCAGGTTGTGTGTGTTCATTTGGTTTGTGTCTGAGAAGCACTGTACACTGGAAAGACAAACAACTGATAATTAAAGAGCCCAGCCCAGAGCTTCCCAGCCACATTTCCAGTTCATCAGAGGCAAGACTGACCGAGGGACTGAGGTCAAAGAAACAGGGTTGACCGCACTTAAGGAGCAAAAGGGACACATTTCACATCCTGCTCAAGGTATAGGGCTGGGGAGTAAGATTTGGCCTCAGTAACCTGGCCCCAAACTGACAAATACCCCATCCCCCCTTATCATGAAGGACGTAAGCTAAGATACAACGTCCAAGATCAGGGCAGTCACTGGGTGGTCCCCAGGCCCACCTGCTTCCCAGGAGAGGGCAGTGAGCCAGGTTGGGAGTAGAAGAACCTTTCCCGCCCATCTCCCCAGAGCCTCACACTGGCATGACCCTCACCAGTACAGATGGCTGACAAGGGCCTTCACAGTGGCCCGGTTGACAGGGGGCAGATGCACCAAGAGCTCTCGGTACCTGGATATCTTTTCTTCCTCATCCTCGATCTCTGGGTGTGGGGAGATGGACTGGGTTAGAAACTGGCCACCACTCCCCCCTTCCAGCAGCTTTGCCTCTCATGATGGAGACACCATCATAGGCACCTAGCAGGGACAGGGGGTACCATCCTCCACCTCTAAGCAACTCCATCTCTAAAGAGTGACTACAGAACCCAGAAGCAGAGTATGCGGAGGAGCTGGGGCAACCCTTGTCCAGAGTATGATAGGGACATTCTGAGGTAGGTAGGCTGGACAAGGATGGATGCGGGCAGCAGGACCCACCAGAGGCCTCCAGCCAGGCCAGGCGCTGTGCACGAGTGAAGAGCCCATCGGGCAGGTCCCTGAGAAAGCGTTTGAGTGCAGAGGAGACATCATCCACGTGCTGCTCTCCCTCTTTTAGGTGCACAGAGCGTGCGTCCTGCCGTAGGCTGTCTAGCAGTCTCTGAGTCTTAGAGGTCTGACCACACTTTCGATAGATACCCTCTGAGGTCAAGCCTGGGGAGGGAGTTATACCACTTTTTAGAGGGATCCTGGGCATAGGGGTGGGGGTTGGGTGTCACTGCAAAAGGCGGGTGGCTGGGGCTTGGAGGCTGGGCTCACCACACTGTGTGATGTAATCCACACAGCGGTACACAATCACTGGGATGTCCGAGTCCCCAAGCTGCTGCTCTGATAGTGTGTCTCCCAAGCTGGCTGCTGCTTTCTGGATGGCCCCTAGCCAAGCCATGAAGTCCAGCCGCCGCTCACCCTGGATGTACAGTGTCCTGCACCAGAGACAGTCACTGTCCCACCTGCCTGTCCCTGTATCCCACCTGCCCTTGGGCTTCTCCTAGATCCTCGGGGAAGCCAAGGCTCACCTCCTCCGTTCTACCAGCACCAGCACTTGGTTCTCGCTGTCTCCTTGGATAGCTATGGAGGGGCCAGTCAAGATGAGACCCAGGCCTTATTCATGACCCATGAACTGCTCCCTCCTGAGGCCCTCTGGGTCTCACCCTTGAATTCCACCCACCAACCTAACGGGCTGCTGAGACATACACCAGGGACAGGAGAGGATATGGAGGGCAGGCTGGATCATCTGGTCAGGCCATAATAGAATTCAGACTTCTAGACAAGGGCTAGGGGCTGGGGGTGGGGGACTGGGACAAGGAAACCCTAGAGATCAGGGAAGCAAGCAAAGGTCCACATACAAAGCTCTTGCAGTCTCCGGAGCTGCAGCGGCTCTTCCCAGGGCCCCTCTGGGAAGACAGCTCGGAGCTCAGAGCCAGTCAAGGCAAACCAGCCTTCCTGGGCCTGCTGGAGGCTCAGGCCAGCTTTGCAGGGTAGGCGACCAAGACGCTCAAAGTCTCGGGTTAGCAGGTCCTCAGCCAGGGGAGGCACAAACGCCTAGTTGAGGAAATAGTGGGGAGACAACATAAGTACAGCAGAGCCTGCTAGAGATACCCTGTGGGCAAGGGCTCTCTTCCATCTAGCTACTTCCTCTTCCCCAAGGCAGAAGACTGCACGGTGACAGGACTTAGGGATCATGTCCTTTGTACCCATTTGGATGTGTCCTTCTCTTTGGATGTCCCTTCTCTGTGTCCCCAGTGTCCACATAGCTAACCATCTGCTACAGGATTGCATACGCCATAGCGTCTACATTCCCACAGGAACAACAGAGGACTGGTACACCTGGGTCCTCCCCGCCCTGGGCACTGACCCTCAGAAGACAGAGAGAGCTCATCAACTGAGCTAATAAGAATGAAGAGCCCCAGGCTCTCAAAGCACAAGGGGGCTCTTGGCTCTCACCGCTAAGGCTGACCTCTCCTCTGCAGTCTCCCTGCCTTCCCCTCTAGTCTAACTGCAAATGATGACCCCAGTGTTGCCCTTGACCTGAGAGGTCTGTCCTGTGTCTGTTATACCCACACCCAACTCCTGCTCCATCAGAGACTCATGGGGTTCATCCAGAGGGCCACTCTGCCTCTGTCACACGCCTGCCCTGCTAGCCCAGGCCCACCTTGGCAATGCACTTGACCCACTCATGAGCCAGCTCTGCATTCTCCAGCCCAAACAGGTACAGCCGTTCTCCCTCTGTGTAGACCTCAAAAGTGTGCTCAAAGCTGCAAATACACAGACCAGGGTTCATTCCTTCAGTACAACCACGCCTCCATTCACTAGCACTCTCTACTCCTTGCCCTTGTCAGTACCCTTGCCCCGACCCCCAAGAGGTGGATGAACAGCCTTGGGCTGCAACCTCATGAGAGAAGGTCAATGTTTTACAGTCTCTTTGTTGTGTGGACCTGAGAAGGTCCTGTCCTTCTCTAAGCCTATGTCCCTGTCTCCCCAATCAGAGGTTGAACTTCCTAGCACTGGTAGTCTGTGGTTATAGTCAGGGGTACTCACCCATGGGTGTCCAGAGGGGAAACTGCTAGGCATACAATCTCACTGGCCCGGATCTCCCCATTGGGCGTCACTGCCCGTTCGTTTTCATAGTAGCTCAGGACCCCGTCACTCAGGACACACCAGCGCCGGCTGAATTCTGTGGAGAAGTTACACAGAGGAACTATGAAGAAAGGCCCAGGCTAGCTAAAAGGCACTCCTGCCTTTTCCCTGGGTCTCTGTTCTTACCCAACCTATAAGCTCTTCATTTTAACTCACTTCTTGTCTAAGTAGTCACCCAGCTGCAGTCCTCTATACATAGTCCCCAACTCTCCCCTATAGCCTATATGAACTTTTGGCCTCCAGCTTGGAGGCCAAGAGTGATGGCGTCTTGATCCCACTTATCTTTAGATGTTAGATCCCATGCTGTCCCCAGTCTTCAGGGCAACCTGTGTCTCTCAGTTTAGGTCTGCCTCTGTCTGTCTCCTCAGCTACTCCTAGCTTCTGCCTGTGCTGCTACTTCTACCTATGGCTCCAATTGCATACGAAGACTTAGGGGCTATGATGATTTGTATGTGCTTGACCGAGGAAGTGGCACTATTATGAGGTAGGTGTGTCACTGTGGGTGTGGACTTTAAGACCCTCATTCTAGCTTCCTGGAAATCAGTATTCTGCTAGCGACCTTCAGATGTAGATGTAGAACTCTCAGCTTCTCCTGCCCCATGCCTGCCTGGATGCTGCCATGTTCCTGCCTGAACCTCTGAACCTGTAAGCCATCTCCAATTAAATGTTGTCCTTATAAGAGTTGTCTTGGTCATGGTGTCTATTCACAGCAGCAAAACCCTAACTAAGACAAGGGCCGACCCTGTGCCCTGTCTCCTTTGCCAGATACATTCCTCATTCTATAGTCTGCCTCCTCCTACAATGGCTCTGAAGATGCACAAGATCCCCAGTAGAAACAGAAATGGGAATCTGGACCATGAAAGGTAAGAAAGCAGAGCACCAAAGCCAGACAGGCTTCTATAGCTTGCAGCACTAGCCTCATAGCGGCTCAGAGCTTCCTGGCACTCAGGGTGAAAAGGATGACTCAGGGGGGTTATATAAACAACATCATCAAGCAGAGGGAACTGGACCAGGAGCAGCAGAGGGTTACACCATCTGGGAGTCAGAGGGCTTTATCTGGGGTACTGCAAAAAACGGTTCTGAGAGAGGCTGTAAGCAGTGGGCATTATGGTCCCCCAGCATGCTGTCCCTCATCCTATCTGTGTAGCCTAACACCTGCCTTCTGAGAACACTGTGACTCCAAGCTTGTGCTCTGAAAAGCACACTAGCTTGCTGAGGTCTTCTTCCTTCTGCAGAAGTATGTTAAGTTACCAGTGGGTACCAGCACTCCCTAGGTGCTAGGACTACAACAGGTACCATGTATACAGGTGTATACAATCAAGGACTGAGCCAGGTATAGTGGCACTACCTATAGTTTCAGCTACTTGGAAGCTACAGGATGGAAACTTGAGCCCAGGAGTTCAATGCCAGGCTCTGGGTAGCAAAGAGACTTTGTCTTGGGAGAAAAAAATAAGACTAAAAATTCAGATGGAACAGTAAGTAGAAAAATAGTACTGGGGGTTACATGGGGCACAGTATCGAGTGGCTGGGAAAGGCATGATATCCCGGAAGACATGACGTTTTAAGGGATATTTGGGGAAAGCATTTGGGGCAGAGAGCAGCAAATGTAGATTCTTGGTGGGGGTGAATCTGGCTTGTGTGACAAAGCATGGAAGTCACAGAGCTGGGGCAGAATCCAGGGAGGGGAGTCTCTGTGATAGGAGGGTAGGTAGCTCTTGGGTGATGTGCAAGGCCTGTAGGCTGTGCTTGGAGTCAGGGAGTAAATGGAAGGCAGCTGAGATCTGAGAGGGATGGTGCTCAAGTTCAAGTCTTCAACCTGCCTTCCATCCATATCTGGAATATGCCAGAGGCCCAGCACAAGACCACGCCCAACAGGAGCTCCATACAGACTTCAAAAACCTCTCTGCAGTACCAGACTCATGCCCTACCCCAACCAGCCCATTTCTCAAGCACTCACTGTATACAAGAGGCCCTATCCCAGACTTTCCAGGAGGCTCTGCCAGAGTCCACTTGGCACCCTCAGGTCCACCAGCAGGACCAGCCCTAGTTTTCTGGCCCTGCAGCCAGGCTGACACATGCCACAGGCCTGGTCGGGTAGGATGCTGTACTCACCTTCCCGGGCACGGCGGTCCTGCAGAGGCTTGCCGGCAGAAGCAGTTTTGTACAGGAAGCCACTGTGGCTCACAGTTGGCAGGGTAACGGAGTAGTGCTTTTCGAAGGGCTTCACTGAGTCCAGCCGCGGGACCTCTTTGGAATGGAAGGAAGAATGGTAGCACTCATGCAGGGTGTCCAGGAGGTGCCCTCTCCAGATGCCCTCTGAGGCAAAGTTCCTAGGTTCATGGTCACAGCCCTGTTTCCTCAGGCTCCTACTGCTACCTTCAGGATTTTGAAAAGCCACATCTCCACCTCTGCCCACCTGTGGGAGTGTCACTCCATTCTCAAGGCCTGGCTCCAGCCCTGCCCATCTCAGGAAGGCTCCCTGACTCCAAAGCCCACTCCACACTCCTTGTTGGAGGCATAGAGCCAAGCATGCTAGAATGAAGGGGGCTCTCGGCCAACTCAATAATAGTCCCTAGAGAGAGGTTTGTCCCAGACAGCACACAGTCCAGTGAAGTGGGCGGGATCGGTGCTCAGCACCGAGGGGTCCTGCCCCGTAGTCCAAGCCAGCTGGGTGGTCTCTTGCACCTCCCTAGACACCTGGGTTCTCTCCAGCCCAGTACACCCCACCCACCCATGGTCCAAGGCCCAGAGCCCCAACCGCTGAGCCCCACCCTCAGCCTTAGGAAGTGGCCTCAAGAGACCCGGCCTGGGCCATAACCAACACATTCATCCTAGGGACCCCCTCCTCATCCACTCCAAGAATAGGAGCCAAATGGGACCCAACCCAGGTCTATGTCGGAACTCCACCCAGACTGAGCAAACAGGACAAGGCTGCTGTGTAGTTCACACACACATAGCAACACCGACCCACTACACATACACAAACCCCAAAGCCTTAACATCACCAATATGAGGAACAAGAGCCCAGGAAGCTTCAAGGTTCTTCCTGGACCAGAGAGCTCCACTAAGAACCCACATTGTAACTCAAGACAGAGCACACAATAGTCATAGAGATACAGACACTAAAGGCCACCCACACAAAGCACTGACCCATAACCTAAGCATGCCCCAAGTGCCATGCTGCTACCCCAGGGACTACCAGGGAACTTCAATTACAGCTTGGGAGTGGCCTACAAATCCAGGTTCTCAGCTGATTCATGGTTCCTGTTGATACCTCTATAAAACTCTCCAAAAGACCAGACCCTGCTAGCAGGGACCTCCAGCTACAGAGGAGGACAGAGCCACAAGTTGCTTACCTGTGCTCTGGTTATTCCGTAGAAACTCCATCTGCAGAGTCTGTCCGGCCTGCTTGGCAAGAGCCAGGGGTGTGGGAGCTGCTGGGTCCCCTGAGAAGCAGCTGACCCCAGCCCCACAGCCCAGGAGCGCCTGGGTCTCAGCCAGGTCAGTGGTGGTAACTGCAGCACACAGGGCCTAGAGGAGAGAGGGAGGTCAATCCAAGAAAGAGTGGGAGGTGGAGGGGTAGGGATGGAAGGAGGAAAGGGGAAGCAGTCACCCTAACCTGGGTGGACCATGCTCAGATTGAAAGAGACCAGGGCTTAGAGAAGCCAGGAGAGAAGAAAAGAAAGCATGCAAGTCAGAAAAAAGAAGAGGGGAAGGCAAGCCAAGGAGGCTGGGCAGAGGCTACCCAGCTGAGGCTGGGGTCCTAGGCGCAGGCCCTCACCCTGTAGGTCCTGGGACACAGCTGCTGGTCAGGGCACAAGGAGCCCCTGGAGGATCTCAGGCTCCCTCTGCCTTGCAGCAGGGGCAGAGGGAGGGGCTGAGGAGTTGTAGCTAATTCCTCCCACATTTGAATTCCTCACTGCCGGCCCAGCCCTCCCGACCAATGGGAGCCACCACCCTTCTGGCTTTTAGGCCAGACGGGGCTGGGCTGAACTGGGGGCTGGACGCCTGGGTCCTGGGGAGATGGAGGCCTGGTTTCTACAGAGCTCTAGACTCAGCCTGCCTGGATAGGACTGCTTAGAGGACGAGCTGAAGGCCGCCCACAGGTTACAAATGCTTCCCTGCTGCCTCTAAGCCAGCAGTCTGAGCCAGATCAGGGTCTAAGACTTGGCTTGCAATCTTCTGGGGCCTGGGGCCCATATGGGGCCTCATCTAGAATGGGGTGTGGATGGGGTGGGTCAGACCAGTCCAGCTGTTTTTCATGAGCCTGACAGGAAATAGCATCCCCACCAAGTTCACTCCTTTGGCAGGATTCTGAAAGAACAGGACAGGGTGCGGGAGACAGAGGAATCAGGAGGAGGCAGCCAGATGCTGAAGACATGGCACTGGACCAAGAACCAAGCCTGACTCCTCCCTACATTGTTCCAGCTTTCCTTAGGCAGGCCCTACTGCCCTCTGGGCCTCAATCTCCCCATATGTTCACAGCCCTCTAAGCTGATGGCAGAGAGAGAATGGGTTCAAGGGATAATGCAGGAACAAGAAGGCTCAAGAATCCCAGAGGCTCCAGTGCTGACCTTGTCCAGCTCCTCTTGGTTGCCAAAGAGTGGGTGGTAGCGGCGGTACTTGCCCTCTCTGTACTTGGCCTCCAGGTGATACCGCCTGGCACCAGGGCTGCTGCTGGGCTCCAGGGCCTCACTAGGGGGCACGTTGGCAGCCCAGAAGTGGTTCCCAGGGCCATTACCCAGCTGTAAGAAGAGCTGTGGGTATGGGCAAGAGGTGAGAGGGGTAGCTGACAATAAGAAGTCTAGAAACAGACAGACAGGCCACACACCCATTTTCCCCAAGAGGAGGTCAGGAACAGCTGGGTCTGCTGGTGACCACTGTACTCTTGCTCAAGGCCTGGGCTCTGAGCCCAGATTGTCTCCGACAGTCTGATAGGTGAATATTTGAGGTCTAGTCTCTGGGGCCCTCCCTATTGTCTCATCCACCCCTACATCCGGAACTCTGCATTCCTGAGGCTGTCCCAGTGAGGGGTACTGTCTAACCTGTCAGCCAATAGGCTAGGCAGGGATTTTGGGTCTATCTGTTCCTAACATTCCTCTCTGGATGAGAGGGGGGTGACAGTTTCTAGGAAATGTATGTCGGGGCAGCATTAAGGGCAAGCTCACTTTCCCTTCTGACGCTCACGCTATCACAGGCATTTCCTGGGCTCCCCACCCACTCATTTAGAGTCCTGGAGGCTCAGCAGAAGACAAAGCAGAAACTTTTCCCTGCCACTACAGACCCAATCAGAGTTGGCTTTGTTTTGTTTTCCTCCCTGGCCTCACCCTCAATGTTCTCAACCATATCCTAGGTATTCTAATCTTAACTCAGGATTATTCTAAAGACAAATCATTAACAAAAGCCATGCTCTCAGCAGTGGTATACCGAACACAGTGTGGGCATATGAACTGGATATGTTATGAAGTTCCCAACTCAGCAGTAAGACCCTATGTGGCAGGTCCCTTGGTCTAGCCTCCTGCTGCAAGTTCCCTATAACAACAATCACACCAGGGCACCAGAGACGTTTAAAGCATGAGTATAAAGATATGTACACATGTGTGCCTCAAGTCATGCATTACATACACACAGTACACATGAATTCAGGTGCAGTGAAAGCTCAGAGGCTCTGAGTAGTGTGCACAGTGGCAAACCCCCAGCCCGGCTAGGACACGGGGTGGAAAAGGAGCAGACTGGGTGTCAATATGCCGGGCCTAGATAACCTCAGGCACATTACAGCCCAATCCAGGGCTTCAGTTTCCACATCAGAACAACAGCTGAACTGTATCAGGGGTCAGCAATTCTCTAAAAGGTCAAATAATAAGTAGTTTAGGTTTTATAGAACATACACAATCTGTCAAACCATTTTTTTTACAACCCTTTAAAACTGTAAAAACATTCTCAGTACACTGGCCAGTTTGCTGATGCTGCTAAAAACAGGCTTTTCCAAAATCCCCACCCACTAGATTATCACAGAGCTCCCCCAGCTCCAAAGTTGTGAGGCCAGTGAGATGGGGGTGGAAGACAGGAGCTGAGAGAGGCAACCCCAAGCACAGATGATCGAGGGGCACGCCCACCCCAAGCACAGGTGACTGCAGGGCACGCCCACCTGGATGAGTGTTTCTGTCCACACCTTCCTGTCCATCTTCAGGCTCCGCACCTTGGACACTCCAGCACCCAGGCCACGGTGCTCCCCTGAGATGAGGCAGATACAGTTACTCTGGTACAGCTCTCCTTGTGAGCACTGGCTCATCCCACTGCTCCTCAGGCCTGGAGATAGCCTGCAGCTCCATTTTGGCATGGCTCCAGAATCTGGTCACAGTGGTCACTATGCACCAGGTCACCCTCCAGGCACAGCAGACCCTCCCGGCCACCTCCCCTACCAAGAGACTGCTTTGACGTGCCAATCCCTGCTCCACAGCGTCAGCCGTTCCAGTGTAGATATAAATACCTTATCTCTCCCCTGTCATCTTCAACTTCCTGCCTCAACTCTCTTCCCGACCTCCCCCCTTCCATGGCCACGCTTCCCCTGTCATTCAGGTCTCAGCTCTGACATGTCACCTCCTCAGAGAAGATGTCCCAAACAAATAGCACCTTCTCTTCACATCTCTTGTAATTCTGTTTTGATTGTCTCCTGTGTTCTTCTCATCCCAATGCATAAGACTAGGATCCTGACCTCTCGGCTCTAGGATTTGTCCTCAGTGCCCAGAACAAATACACAATAAGAGCTTAATAAAGGTCAGGGGAATGAAAGGGAAGGCTCAGGTTGGAGACAGAGGATGAAGCTTGCTCAACCACAGGTCCCAGGCAGGGAAAGAAAAGGGAGCTAGGGACACAAGGAACACCTGCCATTGCTGTCTCAAGCCCTGGCCCTGCATCTATGCAACCATCTTCCACAGAGAACCACAGTCATCCTGTGTTAGCTCCACAAGCTGACACTTTCCTTATCTGGTCACCAGTGAAGCTGCCACTTGTCTGCACACAGACCTCATGACCCCAGGGCCTGACATCTGCCTTAGAGTCTCACAGGCCTAGGGGTTCTTCCCCAAACTCAGTGACTCACTCAGATCTGTTCTTTCTCCTGGATTCCCACATCAAACTCCACCTCTCCTCTGCAGTCATGAAAAACCACCATCTGAGAGCACTGTCAGCTCTCAGATAATTGAATGCCCAGCATGCAGTAAGCAGATGGCACATGCTAGGCCTTACTGCTTGAGTCAACAGATGAATGCACCTTGGGCCCCATGTTTTTCCATTCCCACCCTCCTCAGCCATGTTATCATGGAGGCTTTCATATGTAACTTTCAGACCACCCTAGAAGGCTCAAGACTTCCTCTCTCCCTCCTGGATGGGGGGTCTCCAATCTCAACTTCTGCCCATAAGCCAGAGTCTGGCCCATAGAGCTGACCATGTCCCTGGGTTCCTTGTCTTACATCCCCTCTGGGCAAAACACTGGCTCCTGTCTCAGCATGAGGAGCCCTGGTGGACCTGGCCTCCTGCATGGTTCTGATGCGACAGGGACATCAGATTCCAACAGCCTAGGCTCACTTACTTGCCAGGTAGCCCTGAAAAAATGCTTTTACCCTCTTTGTGTGTCCCCATCCCTGTAGAGAGAGTATAACCATGAAATGAGGACCAAAGGTCACTCCCAGGACAATAGCCAATAATACTGGACCACCATAGGTATAATGGTGGATCTGCCCGATAGACCACCTGTTGCTCAATGGCCAGCCTTCTGCACACATACCTACCTGCACAGCGCTTGCAGATGACAACGCAGAGATTGATGGAGGCCCAGTCAGGCTGCGCAGCCCCACAGTCAGCACAGAACCTGTTGGGGGCTGCAGCCCAGATGCGCTCAGCCACCTCTGAGGTAGATAGGGCCTCTGCGATGGCTCCCTGCATGGCCTCCAGCCATTGTTCCTTCTCTAACTCTGAATCAGCCGAGAAGCTAGGGACACAAAAGCAGGGGAACTGGTGGGAAAGGGCTTGGAGGGATTTGAGGGTCCGGAGGAGGTGTCAACTTAGGACTGCCTGGAAAGACAGGCCAAAGCAGGTGATGAAGTGGGGTAGGTGTTTAGGACAAAGAGGGCAGCACGACACACAGGCAGAGGACAGGAGAGCACTGGCAGAGAAGACCATGAGAGACAGGTAGGGACAGGCCTGAGAGGCAGAGCAGGCACAGGGCACCCTTAGAACAGCGTGTACCAGCCAAGTGTTCATACAGACAGAAGAGAGAATATAAGGTGTGTGCTGTCTCCACCCTTGACCTACTGCCCATCCCGGCCTCAGTTCTTACTGCATCCCAGAAAGAAGTCCATTAGTGCCCAGTGTATTAACACATGCCTTTAACAGCACTCAGGTGACAGAGGCAGAAGGACTCTGACAGGAAAAAAAAAAGAAAAAGAAAAAGAAAAAAAGCCACAGCCTGCTGCTCTTCAAGATGGGAAGCTCTACCTAGACAGTAAGTGCAAAATTGTCTTCCTTCCTACAAAACTCCCCTGGCTTTTTCTTTGCTGCTGCTGTCACCACCAACCTCAAGTCACATGGGAGTGTCCAAGAGGTAATGGCTATGAGTGAGAGAGGCTGAAGATGGCCTCCCCCAGGACAGCCAGTAGAGGAACTTAAAGGCTGCCAGGGCCTCAGATAAGCAACAAGCAGCACACCCCACTGCATAAGCCCTGAAGGCCAAGGTGGTGGAGGCCCTTTCTGCCAAACATCTATCAGCCCCTGTAAAGTTAGTGACAATGACAGTAACCAGGAAACTTGGTGGCTTCTGCAGCTGACAGAAAGGAAAACCCCAAAGTGGCTGGCTGCTGCTTTTGTGATCACTAAGGATTATGGCAAAGAATTATAGGGCCAATGTCATAGGATATTTCAAATGTGAGGATGGACATGCACCCACTTAGCTCTTGAGGTCAAAGGTCACTACCCTGCTAGAAGTATGGATACAGCGAGGCCCCTGAGACTGACAATCGCTGAGTACTGAGACAGAGACCAGAGGGCCTGTGACAGACACAGAGAGGAGACAGCCAAGGTAGAGTGCAAAGGAGGCAGACAGTGGCAGGCCACATGAGGCAGAGAAGGGCCATGGGGAGATGTCCAAGAGACAACAGGCACACACGCTTTGAGCATAAGCAGGTTCTGCTGGAGAACCCACAGGCTTGGGGTTGGGGATACCACAGAGATTCCCCGGGTCCCAGGCCATGGAGGGTTGCAGGTGCTGGTGGGACACCTCATAAACAACATGGTGGGCAAAGAGAACAGAGCCGGCCAGATGGAGAGGGACGAAGACTTCTGACAAAGGCAAAAGTGGGTGAGCAATGCACCTGCTCCATAGGGTGGGGCTGAGGAAGAGAAAAAAAAATACCAAGAGGATTGCCCCCGAGCAAAGGGGGAGCAGGGGCTCACCTGAAGATGCGGTAGGGGGTAGTGAGGTCAAAGCTGCGCCGGTCCACTTCCTTGACGTTGCCCACGTTCATGTCAATGAAGGTGATACCAATGCCCAGATGGAACTCCTGATGGGTGGGCGGGAAGGGAGGAAGGCAAAGCTGACAGCAGGGCTTAAGGTGCAGGACAAGGAATAGGGAAAGTGGTCCCTAGGGAGTAGAAAGAGCCTAGGAAGGAGGAAGGACAGGAATCTGAGCCGGGACAGAAACCTGGACTACAGCAAGCGGGATGAAGGTAGGGGAAGCATGGGAGCTGAGTGGGACAGAACAGGAGGGTGCTGCTCAGGGACAGGATAGAGATGAGGCACAGGCAGACAGGAGGGAAGAAGGGAAATGCTGGCCCAGTGCAGGAAAGGCTGTCAGGGAAAGTATGGGCTTAGGTCTTAGGCAGGACCAGGGAGAGAGCGGGTGGACAGGAGCGGGGCAGGGAAGGGACCGGGATGGGCATGGGGCAGGGAGAGCTCGGTGGCTGGTAGAGCCCTTCATACCTCCAGATTCTTATAGAGCTGTACTTTGTCCCCAGCCACAGCCACATAAAGCTTATTCTTGAAGCCTCGTAGCTCCAGGCTACCAGCACGGTCAGGCTGCTCGGTGCCTCGAGCTTCCAACACAGAGGCACTAGAGAGCCGAACACGGGCTCGATGCTCAACCACCGCCTGCTGCAGGGCCTGCATCCACTCATTCCGCTCCACTGCAGAAGGGTGAAGGTAATATTTAAATTCAACCCCTTGGGCCTCCTGGCTCTAGGCTACTCAGAAGTCAACTCTGCTAGGAATCCTACTGGTGTGGCCTATCCCATCGCTAGACTTCTCTGACTTGGACAACCTAGGCAACAATGCCACCTAGTGAGGCTTACACTGGGCAAGCCACCACAACTGTTGGAGACTGTATCCTTTGTGCACACTGATGTGTGCCTCTGTGGCCCTGGGGAGTATCTGGAAAGGAGCACCGGCTATGGTCAGTATCTCCTTCCTTCTCCTCCCCAACACGGTACAGGGACAACACTTCCCTGTGTATGATGTATTAGAGAGCACACATACACAGTTCCCTTCCCATTCTTGACAATGTGGTCCAACTTCCAGGCCCTTTTCCCCTACACACACACACACACACACATATACACACACACACACATATACACACACATATACACACACACACATATACACACACA